GGAATAGAAAGATGACTGCTTTATTGTCCCTTGCTGAGCACTCACCTCACCTCCCCTACAGAAAATAGGAAGGATGTTATTGTGGTTTGGGTTTTTTTGTTGTTGTTGTTGTCATTTTTTGTAAAGATTTATTTATTTATGCATCCAAGAGCTGGGGTACAGGCCAGAGGTGCCGGGGTGGGGGTGAGAGGGCTCACCAGAGACAGAGTGGGGAACAGAACAGGCAGATCTAGTGAAACACACTGCTGAGGGGCGCAGCGGGTGAGACAGGAGAGGTCTGCTGCTCCGTGTGGGTTAGCTCCCTCCCTGACCAGCCAGGGGTCAAACTCACGCTGCAGTGACTGCAGATAGATTTATAGCGCTGCAACTTAACCCCTTGCACCACTAGGAGGCCCTGGCTGAGATTAATTAAGTCTTACTTGATATTTTTCTTTATGTCCACATTTTCATTTAATTTTTAAACTTGTTAACTTTGGTTTTGTGCTTCCTTTGTTATACAAATAATGTAGACCCATCGTAACACATTTAAGCAACACAGATGTGTACAAAGTAAAAGGTCAGTGTCTGATCTGCCTTCCCACCCAGCCACCTACCCCCATCCTAGCGACCAGGAATATGACACTGACAGTTTGGTGTACCTTAAGGTTTGCTCTTGAAAATATAGTTTCTTTTCTTTAGATTAAGGACTTTGCCGGTGTGTGCAAAATCTATTTCAAAAATGAGTTCTCACTCAGATTCCCAGCCACCAAGGGCAGGATGCATATACCTGTACACACCGCCTGGTGCCTTGCCCAGCACCTAGGAGAAATTACCACTTCATAAATACTGAGAAAAAAATGTGCAGGTGACATTCCAAGTTCCTTTAACAGACAAAACTTCCCAGGGTGTTTTAGCTTCTCTGACAGATAAGGCTGCTTTATTCTCCAGAATCTGACATACATTAGAAAACCAACATTTCATGATATTAAAGAATTTACGTCTGGAAAAAAGGCATTTTCTTATAACCCAGGTGTGGGCTAGGAGTGTTCTGCAAGAAGGCAAGTGAGGGTATATATTTTCCAATTTCAGGCTCTGATTTGTACACTGAAGGACATGAAGTTATCCTTGTGTTGTTCAGAAGCTCAAAGACCCAAGGAAGGAAAAAGATGAAAAGCTATTTTTTGCTATGCTGCTACCTTAATATATATCTGTAACTATACATTGAACACAATAGATTCTTTCAAAATTCCTCCTGAGTATGAGTACTAGTTGGTGTGAGTCCAGGATATCAATTCACTGAAATTTGTGCAACTTTAAGATAAAACTCACACATATACACACACATAAACATCTATATTTTAGCTTTTTTCATTGAGAAAAACATATTATAGCTATTCACAGTGATGAATGAGTTGCTTTTATTAAAACTGATTGGAAATTCTTGAGCGCAATTTTCTTAGAAATTTGAAACACAAATAAACAAAGTACTAAATCCAAAATTGTTTGTCCTACTCTCAAAGACCTGCCAATGAGTTATGTGATTATCTGCAGAAGCACACTGGCTATTTTCCATCAACAGAAAATGAACATTTATGAAGCATGGGACTCAAGGTCTGGTGGGGTTAGGACTGTTTGCACCCATAACCTGCCAAGCACCCATGCTTCTGTCCAGGGTTTTCCGTGACTCAGATCAGCCTCTGGCCACTCTTAATGCTGCTCCAGTGACAGAGGACAACATGGAGGTGACTTCTACTTTCACTGCTTTCCTTCTAATCCCTGATTTTCTTTTCCTGTATTTGATCCTCTGTACTTCTTATCTTTTTCATTAACTGAATGACAACTCCTTAACCAAGTCATAGTTAAGAAATTGGCAATACACAGACCTGACTCTACCTCTGGGCAAATCCCTTAATTCCTCTGAGCATTGGTGGGCTCTTCAATCAATTGTGAATGTTCATATCCATTTCACTAGTACTGTTGGGCACAAGGTAAGCCTTTGATAAATGAGAATAGTGGCAGTGGTCCTGGGCAAAACCAAGGAGTACCCATTCCCCAAACTATTCACAGGAAAAAACCTATGTTGTCCAGTTTAAGGGTTTGTCCCACTCATACACATATAAGCAAATTAATCAAACTCTAGTGTACTCAAAGATTTTTAATTGGTGAGAGTTTCAAAGGGAACAGAGAGAAAAGAGTAAGAGAAAGAAAGATTTCAAAATATAAACTCCTGATTAATTTCCTCCTGTACAGCTAGAACAGGCAGGGCCCAAAGTGGAGCCAGCAAGAAAATGAATCTAAGTTATCTCCTAACACAAGCAGAAAGTTGGGCTGGGGCCAGAGGTTGGGAGAAAAGGAAAGAACCAAAATTCAAAATGTACCATTCACACTGAATCCACAAGATGGTCAAGATGGCTGCAATAGTCTCTCAAGGGAGCTGGAACACAGTGCCTGCCAAAGTACTAAGGACAGGGGAAAAAGAGGAAAGACCAAGAGAAATCTCTGCCCACATGTCTTCTGTTCCTTCTTTTCAAGGATAGCTGTGCAGTTCCTTCCTTTTTTCCCTAAATCCCCCATTTAGGAAATCAGGTTCATGGTTTGCTGGGAGTTCTAGTGCTCTGCAGACAGAAATGGTTCAGGGGAGATGGCCCTCGTTCTGGTAGCCTCTGCTCCACAGGCTACTTTGGCAGGCACTATGATGGGCTGTTTTCTTGCCCCTGGAAGAGAAATTGCTCATCTTAGCACATGTGCCAGACTATCCAGGTCAGACTCTTCAAGAGGAAGAATCTGAAGTTCTGTCAAGCGGGGGCCCACAGACCCATGGGGGAATTAGGAGCATCTTCAGCGATTCTCTATACCTGAGGGTTTAGGGATTGCTTCCTCACTAAAATTTTTTCTCTTAATATGTTTTACTGATTGTCAATGTCAAAGTTCTTAGGTACCATTAAGGGTTCTAGCAAACTGATCACTTAATCTCTAAGCGTTCACTACCCCATGTGTTCAGGTGTTCCAAAGAGTTGAAAAAATATATCAATTTTGGGACCTTGCTGGTGGCTGAGGCTGTTGAGCGCAGCACTGTGAAGCTGTCTTCAGTTTCTGCAGTGCCAGTTCGATCCCTGGCCGGCTAGGGAGATACCCACATGGCATAGCAGACCTCTTCTGCCTTGCTCGCTGCTCCCCTCAGCAGTGTATTTCAGTCGCTCTGCCTGTTCTGTTCCCCACTCTGTCTCTGGTGAATCCTCACACCGTCCCACACATCTGGCCTATACCCTGGTTCTTGTATAAAAAAAAAAATAAATCTTTAAAAAATATATATCAATGGGCCTCCCCCATGGCGCAGCGGTTGAGCGCTGGGTTGTGAAGCTGCCCTCAGCCTCTGCAGGGCCGGTTCAATGCAGGGGCGCCGGCGAGGGTCCCACATGGTGTGCAGACCTCTTCTGCTGCCCGCTGCTCCCCTCAGCAATGTACTTCATCAGTCTGCCTGTTCTGTTCCCCACTCTGGCTCTGGTGAATTCTCTCAGCCTCCTGCGCTTCTCACTGTACCCAGTGCTTGTATAAATAAATAAAATAAATCTTTAAAATATATATATATCAATTTTGATGACTACTTATAAGCCCAATGGCAAAAAGATCATCTATTCGTCTTACTCTTTAAAAGGCTGTATTTGAAATTATTGATGAGTAAACCTAAATTTTAAAAAAATGGAAGTTTAATACACAATTAATGAGGCATGTTTATTTCATAATACTTTAAATTTTTTTTTTTTTAAAGATCCATCCATTTATTTATTTATTTTTTATTTATACAAGCACTGCGTACAGTCAGAAGCGCGGGAGGGTGAGAGAATTCACCAGAGCCAGAGCGGGGAGCAGAGCAGACAGAAGGACCGAAGTACACTGCTGAGGGGAGCAGCGGGCGGCAGGAGAGGTCTGCGCGCCATGTGGGACCCTCCTCTGGTGGCCGGGGAGCAGCGGGGGATCGAACTGGAGCTGCAGAGGCTGCGGCAGCTTCGCAACCCAGCGCTCAACCGCTGCTCCACCAGGGAGGCCCTATTTAATAATACTTTAATCATCATTTTTCCTCGCTCATATCTCATATTTATCAATAGCTAAAATCATGTAATGGAAGATTGGGGCAAATGCCTTAAACTGTAAAGATGACAGGTGCCCTCTTCCAGGTAGTAACAGCGCCACCTGGTGGCATTTTCAAAAGTCCTCGCTGAGGAATTGTGTCAAACCCAGACCGGGTCCTACAACTACAGGCAGAAACGATACCACTTTTGACTCTTGTCTTAATACAATAACTTTTTCCCTTTTTGAGTGGTTTAATTTTTAATTTTATTTATTGTGGAGTTTTTGTGTTCATCATATAGTTTCAATGTAGTCAACCATACTTTTCAGAAAAGAATGAATTGGGTACTAATTAGTATTAAATTATAGTAACCGCCATTCCATGTTCAATGTTCTATCTTCTGAAACAGTATCTTTGTTCTTCCAGCCTCAAATACCTCAGGGACCGCATCTACTGACAGCTCGGGGTCAGCACTGTCAGTATCAGCTGCTTCCACCCCAGCAAATACCATCAACCCGCAAGCTGACCCTGACAACACAGCAAGCTCCGCTCCATTTGCCATAGCGAGGTCCGCGGGGTCCTCCACAGGCGCGGCCTCGGCGTCCTCCACAGCCGCGCCCTCGGCGTCCTCCACAGCCGCGCCCTCGGCGTCCTCCACAGCCGCGCCCTCGGGGTCCTCCACAGGCGCGGCCTCGGCGTCCTCCACAGCCGCGCCCTCGGCGTCCTCCACAGGCGCGGCCTCGGGGTCCTCCACAGGCGCGGCCTCGGCGTCCTCCACAGCCGCGCCCTCGGGTCCTCCACAGGCGCGGCCTCGGCGCCCTCCACAGGCGCGCCCTCGGCGTCCTCCACAGCCGCGCCCTCGGCGCCCCCCACAGGCGCGGCCTCGGCGTCCCCCACAGCCGCGCCCTCGGCGTCCTCCACAGCCGCGCCCTCGGCGCCCCCCACAGCCGCGCCCTCGGCGTCCTCCACAGCCGCGCCCTCGGCGCCCCCCACAGCCGCGCCCTCGGGGTCCTCCACAGCGAGCGCCTCACTATCCACCACACCAGATAGCACAACTCCTGCAAAACTACCAGGTAATACTGTTACCACCTCACCAAGTTCGGTCACTAATTCCAGCAACCTGCCCACATCAGAGACCACTACAAACCCTGGTCCCTCAAGTCAGAATAATTTCCTTAAAGACTCCCCGCTGAGGAGCCCTAGCGTTGTGGAAGGCCGCGGGAAGTGTGACCTGCTGGGGAAGTGGGTATGAAGAGGCCCGATGTTTCCTAGGAGATGAGCCACTGAGATGAAAAATTTTGTCAGAAAGGCTAGTAGTGATAGCAGAGACCCAAAATATTAGCCGCAGTTCTATTCAGCTCTCCTTTCCTTTCCATGCATCCTTCCTCAAACTATTTGCCAAATGTGGGGTGTTTTTATAAACTTGCACTTTGTGAAAGCTACTTCTCCGGTTGGCTTCTCTGAGCTTTTTGGAAATAATTTCTGCTTCTCTGAGAAGGCCGGGCCCAAATAAGCACTGATTCTCCAGCTGCACTGGTTAACTCCCTGGTATATCTAAGGAGTCAGTCCTACCTTTATCAACTGTTACTTTAAAAATTTACAAGTTATGGTGGAAGCTGATCACATTTAGAATTTGAGCTAATTTGTAGAATTGGTGCTGAGGGGTAAAATGACTTATCTCAGCAGTGCTCAGCAGTGCATGGCCAGCGCCACTAGCCAGAGGACAAAGTTATTGAGGCAGAAGCCACTTGCCTCATTTCAGAGACCTTGGTCTTGAACCGGGATCATCAAATTTTATCAGTGAAGGCAAATTAGTAAATATTTTAGGTTCTGTGGGCCACAAAATGGTCTTTGTTGCTGCTATTCCACTTTGCCATTTTATTTATTTTTATAAGTTTTACTAAGATATAATCACATATTATGCAATTCACCCATTTCAGATATACATGTCAGTGCTTTTTACTGTACTCACAGTTGTGCAGCCATCGCCAAAATCAATTCTAGAACATTTATCACCACCCCAAAAGAAATAGTTCTTCTGTCTCGCCTCCCGTTTCCTGACAGCCATGTGTTTTCTCTCTATGGAATGTCTTGATTCCAAACAATTTATACAAGTGGAAGCAGTTCAGTTTATATGACCCTTGGTATTTAGCTGGGTTTTTTGTTGTTGTTGTTCTTCAGCATGATGTTTTCAGGGTACATTCATGTTGTAGCATCTGTCACAGCTTCATTCATTTTTATTACTGAGTAGTATTCCTTTGTTTAGATCTATCATTCCTTGCTTGGTGGGCACTTTTTGGTGACTCTGATTTATGCTGCTATGAACATACATGTGTAGGTTTTTATAAATATATACAGTTTGCCATTTTACTATGAAAGAACCATAGTCGAAAGTTAAATGAATTAAACTTGCTGTATACCAGCACAACTTTATTTACAAAAACAGCAGATGTGGCTCATGAGTCAACCTCTGGTCTAAAAGAATCCTCAAATCTAGACTTACAGGGTCTAGATAAACCTTTCTCAGATAGGAAATGGAGGCCAAAAGAAGGCCGAAGATCCTTGAGCAAAGGGATAGCTCCCTATACCTTCATCTTTTGGTCTCCCCAACATTTTTCAACAGATCTAAGCAAGGGACAATTAAGCAAAGAAAGCCAGAGCCTGTATCTCAGACCTGGCTCCTGTCTTTCGTGTTTAGATGGGCTGTGCTGAAGATGAGGTCAAATAGGATTCAGTTCTACAATCAGCTCCCCTGGAGTCAGAAAGGCAGTCACTTTTCTCTTGGCTTCAGCTTACTCATTTGTAACAAGGTGTGATGAACTAAATAGCCACCAAGTCCCTGTTAGCTGTACATCTGTGACTTTATTCCAGACATAAAGAACAAGCTAACAAATCTGTCTTTGAATGCAAAACTGCCCAAACTTGGAAGTAACCAAGATGCAGGAGACAAGGATACAAGGAGTTTTTTCTGGTATATCCAGAATAGAGCTGCATTCAATGTCTTCCCTAGGATTTTCCAAGTCATCCTTGCAATGTTGCTGAGACTCTTTTAAAAGCCCTCTATCTCAGTTAGAATACCACTCACACTATGTCAGAGGGGTGACCTTTGTATTGTTTGGATTACTGCACTATAAATGCCTTCTTCAGGGCCTCCCCAGTGGCGCAGCGGTTGAGCGCTGGGTTGCGAAGCTGCCCGCGGCCTCTGCGGCGCCGGTTCAATCCCCGGCTGCTCCCCGGCCACCAGAGGAGGGTCCCACATGGCACGCAGACCTCTCCTGCCGCCCGCTGCTCCCCTCAGCAGTGTACTTCGGTCCTTCTGCCTGCTCTGCTCCCCGCTCTGGCTCTGGTGAATTCTCTCACCCTCCCGCGCTTCTGACTGTACCCAGTGCATGTATAAACCAAACAAACAAATAATAAATAAATAAATAAGACATGCCTCTAGAAAATTAAAATAAATAAATAAATAAATAAATGCCTTCTTCAGTTCCATGTAGCCTATTTGGCTTAAATCTTTGAAAATTTTTAATAGGTTCTTTAAAAAAAAAAAAAAAAACAGCTTTAGATCCACGGTAAAATTTAGAGGAAGGTACAGAGATGTCACATATAACCCCTGCCTTCACTCATGCAGAGCCTCAGGATCCATATCCCTTACCAGAGAGGTACAGCTGATGAACCCCTATTGACTCATCATAATTGCCCAAATCCCAGTTTGCCACTGTTGGAGTTGTGCATTCTCTAGGCCTAAACAAATGTATAGTGTAAGTATCATATACAGTATCTTCACTAAATATGCTCTGTGCTCCACCTTTAACCTCTCTTTCCCTTCCATCCTGACAGCTACAGATCTTTTCACTGTTGCCATGGTTTTGCCCCTGCCAGAATGTCATTAGTTGGAATCATACCATACATAGCTTTTTGATATTGATTTTCCCACTTAGTAATATGCATTAAAGTTTCCTCCATCTTCTAGCATGGCTTGATGGCTCCTTCCTTTTTTATAGTGTATCTATACAATATTCTATTGTGTAGATGTATCACAGTTTGTTTTCTCTATCATCCACTAAAGGACATCTTGGTTGCTTCCAAGTTTGGGTAGTTTTGCGTAAAACTGGTCTGTATATTACATGCTTTTTGTAATAAATTTTGAAATAAATTTTATTTCCTTTAGGTAAATACTGAGGAGTATGCTTGTCGGATCATATGTTTAGTTCTGTAAGAAAATGCCAAACTCTTCCAAGCCAGCTGTACCATTTTGCATTCCCAGCAGCAATGAATGAGCATTCCTATTGCTCCACCACCTCCCCAGAACTATTTTATTTTTCAGTTAAAGTAAATCAGGCCCATAGTTATGGAAGAAATGCTCAAATGGAGCAGAAGGATATGCAGTAAAAACTCAACCTCCCTCCCATCCTAACTTAGTAGGACCCAGGTCCTTAGTTTCTTGTGTCTCCCTCCAGAGATAATTTATGCAAATACAAGCACACGTATTTGTGTGTTTGTGTGTATTCTTCCCCCTCTTTATAACCAAACACAAAAGAAAACCTGTTATACACATGGTTTTATATATATGTGTATGCATGTGGATATGTGTATGTGTGTATGTATATACACATGTGTATATACATATATAATAGCATTTTAAATATATATAGAATAGCATTTAAAAATATCAATGACTTCTACCTACATATTCATAAAATTCATAAAATCTTAAGACAACTCTGAGGAAGTGTCAGACACTTGATCTATTTTGAAATCAAAGCTCAAAAATTATTTCATTTTACAGAGATGAAAATGGCCAGCCACACTCACCATTTGGCTGCTGATTTAACTGCGGATTTAACTTCCTCCCTTGGACCCCATCATTTCTCAGGAGATAGAGAGGATGCTGTGGCCTGCCTCACCTGGGGTTCTGGCCAGTGGTGTGGAAGCCACTGTGATATTAGTCTCACCTTCACCCAAGTGGCCCACTCAGGAACGCATAGTGTGGAGTGCCACACCTCACTCCCTCAGAAAATTTTCACCAAGTAAATCCTCATTCTCCCCTTACAGTCCCTTTCCTTTCTTCACGGACCTGTATACTACATATATTCTCCATAACATCTAGTTTCTTTTTAGAATTTTTTGCCTGCACCTCCCTATCAGACAGTAACTCATACCCCCCCCCATGAATATTATGCTTTCTCTATAATAGTTTTAGAGAGCACTACCTAGTATAGACCTCAGTGTTCTGGAAGATCCTTGAGGTCTAAAGATTCCTGACTCTTGAGGAAGACTGTTCCCTCTCTCTGCATAGATCCTCACCGACTAACTTCTGACCTTTACACTTGACAAACACTTGGCTCCAGAATTTCAGCAACCAACTCCCTAGAGACAGAAGGAAAATATATATATTTCCAGCTCCCCTAAGCATATGCTGTGGAATTGCATAACCAAGGAATAAAAAAGTGCCCAAAAAAGAGGCATTGAGATTTAAAAGTTTATTTCTGGGTGTTTGTTGTTGTTGTTCGTAGATTTTTAATCTCTTTCTACTTTATCTCAGCTCCCAGCAGTCCTTGCAAAACCGATTCTTGTGGCAGTGGTTCTTCGTGTGTTAATCTGCATAATGAATACTTTTGCCTGTGTCCTGTTGGGCAGTACTACAAAAATTCCACATGTACTGAAGGTGAGCTGCAAGGGATGAACCATACAGAGCTGCATCTCATGCTTGAAGTGGAATTGAAAACTCAAAATAATGGCGAAAAGAGTTTCCAGTATCCTAGAGGTAGAGGGACATTTGGAAACAACAAAGGCCAGTCAAGTAGAGAAGACTCTTGCCTTTTGTCCTAGGGGAGAGGAAACGGACCAAGTCAGATTTGTAAGCTAGTCACAAAAGCCTGGGGGTGGATGTGTGCCTTCACTCTGCCTGTCCATGGAGATACAATGAGAATGATTGGTCACACAGCTCCTGAAAATGTACAAAGCTTGCACAAATATAAAGTGTCTGTTACATGGGGACACTGGGGCAAGATCAGGTGCTATACCAAAGACCACACAGCCAGACAGGCCTGGAGGCTTCTCTCTGACCTTGGTTCAGTTTTCTGTCTCAGGACTTGTTGGCTCCATCACAACAAGCCTCCATTTTCAGACTTAAAAGCCTCTCGGGTCTAGAAGTGGGGGGACCTTTGGAGCAGATCACATGCCCTTGCATAACATTCTTTTGGGTAAATCAGCAGGGTGCTGTGATAGCCCAAGGCTGTTACCTGACTTATAAATTTCTGTCTGTCCACAAATGAGCTATATTTTCCCTTGCCAGAGCCAACTAATTAAATAGAGAACAAATGCAATAAATTGGTCACCGGGGTTATTCCAGAAACCAAAAGATGTTCCTGTCTTTCACACTAATAATTTCATTTCTGGGGATGCACTCTGACCCCAAATACAGAAAGGACTGTGCATGAAGATGTTCTTTACAACCTTTCCTTTTAAATAAGAAGAAGTGCTAAGTGTAGCAACATAAAATGACTACATCAATGAAGGGAACATATACTTCATAGATGATTATGTAATGTTACAAAATGATAATTATGAAAATTAGGTAATGACTTTGAAAAATGTTTATCATGTAATAAATAAAAAAGGGCTCATGACACAACTTGAAATTATGGCAATGTAAACTATTTATGAAAAAAAAAAACTGGTAAAAATATACCAAAATGAATATGGTTGAGTTAGATTGGGTATGGTTTGAGGTAAAGCATTTATAATGTTTCCAAAATCTCTATAATATCATCCTATAAGGTTTAGAATTTTAAAAAATATGTTTTAAACAACATGGAAATGACCCTCTTTATATACTACATAAAATTCTGCTTGAATTTCAGGAGATATATTCCCTGGAACAATTACAGTAAAAATAAATGGATCATCTGACTTGGAAAATGAAAGCTCTGAGGCCTATCAACAGTTATATAATAAAGTTACCCTATTTGTAAGTATTTCAACCTTCCTTCCTGTATGCGTTTTCTGTGTTCTAACACTGAGCTGCTGCGAGTAGGGCTGGCATTCAAATGGCACATGCCTTACAGCTGTTGTTGACCAAATGGTGATAAGTATCTTCCCTGGTGGGTAAAGAGAGCAGCTGTCGGAGCCCCCTGGGTGCCACTCATCCCCTGGGACCCTTGGGGCTCTCTGTGATATGTATCTAGAGGGCTATCTCCTGGCCTGGCAGGGGGCCTTTGAAATCATGATCCAGCCATGCCATGCTCACTGATACATAAGCTATTGATATATTTTTGGATGGACAGATAATTTTAATGATGCTTTAAAATACATTATTCCCACAGATAGAAATAATTTTTCCCTTTTTCTTTTTTTTTCTAAAGATTTATTTATGCATACAAGAACTGGGGTGTAGGCCAGAGGTATGGGGGAGGGGTGAGAGGATTCACCAGAGACAGAGAGTGGGGGGCAGAACGGCAGACTGACTGAAATACACTGCTGAGGGGAGCAGCGGGCGAGACAGGAGAGGTCTGCTGTGCCATGTGGGTAGCTCCCTGGCTGGCCAGAGATCAAACTCTGCTGCAGAGGTTGCAGATAGCTTCATAGTACTGTGCTTAACCCCTTGTGCTACCAGGGAAGCCCTTTTTTTCCCTTTTTCTATTCAAATCTGCATAAATTTTCATACTAGTCTGGCTCTTTTTTCTTTTTAAGACTGGAAGAGTAACTCCATCAGGTTAACATGTTACATATTTCCCCACTGTAAGAAATGTTGAAATGAACAATAGTTTCATCTCAGTTATAATTTATGTGTGTGCTTTGAAGGTCAAAATGGCATAATTTTAATTGACTGTCTTTAACCATTTTATGCAGTCTCATAACATTTTGGTGGTTTTGACCAATTCACCTATAGTCACAGTCAGTCTTGTCTGTCTGCTCTTACCCAAAAACTAGTTGCCTTATATATGGATCAGAATTTCATTGATATCAGATTAATGATGCTGGCTTTGCTGAAAGTTCTGTGGTTATTAAGCAAATCAGTTTATTATGGGCAGTGCTGCTCTGATTTGGGACTGAAGCTTTGTCTCATTTTGGGAAAAAAAGCTAGGACCTGGAAAGAACCATTTTGTGTGAAACGCAATCTAACATGAGGCTCTAAAAGGCCATTTATTAGGTACATGGAGTGCGCATGTGTTAGGTATGTGGAGCGGTAGGTACCCTCTGCCGATCCTTCTAGGGCCTCTGGTCAACAGTGCTCATAACAGTGCCAAGACCATAATTGTGGACTTATTTTGTCTCATTTGAAATGGAGAGCAAAGTCACTCAGGAGCAGAGTGAAGAATAGAACCTCGACCTCCCCAGATTCCTGTATTGGCTTTCTCTTGATACTGAGTTTTCTCTCCTCTTCTCAGACTTTCAATTTAATTATAGGTGTTGACTCTTTTGTTGCTTCTTGGGTAGTGGATGTGATTCTGCTTTTGCCTTTTTTCAAAGTTTTTAAAATTCAAGTTATAATGAACATTGAGCATTTACTTAGTTTCTGTGTATGACATAATGATTTGATATTTGTATATATTGTGAAATGATCACCACAATAAGTCTAGTTAATATCTGTTACACAGGAAAAAAATTTTTTCTTGTGGTGGGAACTTTTATCTCTTAGCAACTTTCAAATATACATACAGTATTAACAATAGTCACTCTGCTGTGCATTATGTCCCATGACTCATTTATTTTAAAACTGGAATTTTGTACCTTTTGACCCCTTCATTCATTTCATCCACCCCTCCAGCCACTGCCTCTGGCAACCACCCATCTGTTCTCTACTTATGAGTGCATTTTTTGAAAGACTAGAGTCACTACAAGTGAAACCATGCAGTATTTCTCTTTCTCTGTCTGACTTATTTCAGATAGCATAATGCCCTCAAGGTTCATTCATGATTCAAATGGAAAGGTTTCCTTCTTCATGGCTTAATAATATTCTGTTATATGCCACATCTTCTTTAGTCATTCAGCCATCGAAGAACACTTAGCTTACTCTCATGTCTTGGCTATTATAGTAATGCTGCTGTGAACATGAGGGTGCAACTTTCATTTCATTTTGATTATTGTGAGCGAGTGTATCTAATGAAAGAGATAAAGGTCTGTATTCTGGAACCAGATGTTATACACATAAGGGCTTGCAGAGGGCATCAGGCCAAGATTTCCCAAAATTTAGATTTTTTTTTTCTTATTTTTTAAAAAAAAATTTTAAAGGTTTATTTATTTATGCATACAAGAACTGAGGTACAGGCCAGAGGTGTGGGGAGTGAGAGGATTCACCTGCATCTTAACCCTTGAGCCACCAGGGAGGCCCCCCTAAAGTTTAGATTTAAAGGAGAAAAATATTAATCTGTAAATATGTCTTAGAACCCTAGGTAGAAAAATATTTTTAAATATATTGTCTTATTCTATGATGTCTTTCAATTTGGAATCATATCATTATAAAACATTTTGTTATTAGAACTGATAAAATGTAAAAAAATATTGTTGAAATTATTTTACGCATTGTACAAAAAGAGCTAGTACTCACAACCAAACAGAAACACCTGGCACTACTAGATTGGTAATCATGGCTGCCATATCCCAGTGCTTGCCCTTGTCTCTGGCCCATAACACCCTGCTAGGTGGGCCAGCTGGACATGACTATCCTCTTATCCTTGATCTACATTCCTGTTCACCTGTTTGGAGGATATTCAGTGCAGTGAAGATGGCAATATCAATGTCTTCCTATTTTCAGGGAAGCCCTGTGGCTTTACTGATTATGGTCACTGTTTCCCAAACTTGCTTTTGGTGTGAAAAAAAAAAGCCCCCTACAACTGCAGGCTATATTCCCTGGTCTCAAGAGTCCAGTTTAGAGACTTGCTCTCAGTCTGGTCTTTAGGGCCCCTGGGGGGACCAGTAATGGGCTAGAGCATTCTTTTTTTTTTAATATTTTATTTTATATAATTTTTACATTGTTTTTCACTTTTGCACAATGTATGCATTTTCATTTTGGTTATATTCCCCATACAGTTGCACCCCCCCCCTTATTTTGACCCTTATCCTTCCTCTCCCCATCCCTCCCCGTAGTGTTACATATACACAATGGAATATTACTCAACAATCAGAAAAGATAAATACATGCTGTTTGCAGCAACATGGATGGAGCTAGGAGGGATCATGCTCAGAGAAATAAGTCAGAAAGAAAAAGAAAAATACCGATGGTCTCACTCATAGCAGGATAGAGCATTCTTAACATTTTCAGGAGGCTTTTAATCCAAAAGGGATATACTGGAACTCCTTTGCAACTCTCAGAGATAGGAAAACACACACAATGGAAACCACTGAATCCAAGTGGACAGTCCTCACAGGGATGTGGCATTTCCCTGGTGTGCTGTGCCCACAATTTTATGCAAACTATTTCTAATTCTCAAAACAGCCCTGTGGAGGGAACAGTAGCTTGATCGCTATTTTGCTAATGAAGCACTTGAGGATCCAGAAAGTTAAGTAACCCACAGAAGGTCACATAGTTTAAGAGTGAGAATGGGATTTGCCCAGAGCCGCTTCTCCTTCTTCTCTCCTCTTGTGCAGTAGAGTGTGGGCCCATTTGGGTATCTCCTGCCTTCTTGCCCAGCCTTGTCCCCTTCAGATTTAGAGACGTATATACCAACATCCTCAAAGGGTGACCCAAAGAAAAAAAGAAAGGATGAGTTTTTCTTATGTCAGATGCTATTTGCACAATCTCTTCTTTGGAATTAAGAAATTTAAATAAGCGGGGTCTCCCTGGTGGTGCAGGGCTTAAAGTCTCAGTGCTATCAACCTATCTCAGCCACTGAGGCATGAGTTCAATCTCCAGCCAGGGAGCTGACCCACATGGCACAGCAGACCTCTCCTGTCTTCCCTGCTGCTCCCCTCAGCAGTGTATTGCAGTCAATCGGCCTGTTCTGCTCCCCACTCTGTCTCTGGTGAATCCTCTCACCCACCCTGCGCCTCTGGCCTATACCCCAGTTCTTGGATGTGTAAATAAAATAAACCTTTTTTTCAAAAGAAGGACAATGGCACACTGAGTAAAAATCTTTAAAAAAGAAAAAATAAATAAGCGATAGTCAGTAGGGGAGCTGGAAGGGATGTTCAAGGTCACTAGGTGAATGGCTCCTGAGGAACCCTGACAGTTCACAGAAACACCAGCTATTCCAATTATTCAAAAGATTGTAAAGGACTATGAACATTCTGGATAGAAGGCTACTCAGAAAGCATCAAAGTTATTAGAATTTTATGATAATTAAGAAGACATACCTTGACATTTTTTTAAAATAAGATTGATTGCCATGATGTTTTAAAGTGAGGAATCCCCATAGGGAGAAAGACAGTAAAAAGTCATGGACTAAAAAAGTTTGTACCATCCCAGTTCAATACTCATCTAATAAATTTGGAGACCTAGGCTCAAAGAGGGCAAGCCATGTGCAAGGTCATGATATCTTTCACATTTCTTTAATTCATTCATTAGTCAGCCTGTGTTTGTTCAGCATTTCCTGGGCCTTGCCCTGTACTAAGAACTGTGGGATGGGATGGGGGCAGAGTGGGCGGGGGAATTTTTGTCATAAGAAAGAGAAAACCCCTTCTTGACGTCAAAGAACTTATGTGGTAATTGGCGCACACACACCCCCCCACTTACACACATATCACCCTACCTTCATCGCACCCTTATCAGAGGTCCCAAGTTTATGTCTGGCCACTTCCCTGCAGGTCGTTAGAGCGGTCTCTGTTCATAGAACACAACTTGAGCCTAATAAGCTCATCCTGTGGTAGAGCCCCTTCCAGCTCACAAGTCATACATCTCATTTTAAGTATATTTTAGCCCTATATGGTGGGAATTAACTGCTATTTCAAGTTTTCCAAGGAGAAAAAGTGAGGTTCAAAAATTTAAATTGTGCTAAATCTGCAAATGGAGAAATCTGACATTAGGAGTTCTTCCCAGTGCCTGCTCCCTTCTGTGCTACGCTGCTTCTGAACATTAGCGTTTTCCATTCCCTGTCTAGACGACTTACTGAGATGCTCTGGGCCTCTTTCCTTTATGTGGACTCTGTGGGTCGCTGAAACCCAAAGACATGTTGTTGCATTTTTTAAACTTCCAAGGTAGATGGTATCTCTCTGTGGCTCTGACCTCTTTCTTCTTCATGCTGTGGTTCCTGCTATCACAGAACTGATCTGCCCTCCTTTGTGATCTCTAGGTCCTCTGGCACAATGCCTAGGATAAGGCAGGCCATTCAGTAGCTCCTTGGGTATGATTGTGTGTCCATGAAGTCTGCATAGAAACAAGTCTAACAAATAACACAAAACTTCACAGTGACTTTGAAAAGAGAACCTTAAAATGGTAGTCACCACCGAGTGCTTTAAGTTTTCCTGGATAAGGCTGACTTGCATCAGAATCTTTCTGTTTTAGAGTAAAAATTACTGAAAGAAGTTAGACTTCATTTCAAGAATAAATAATTTGCTGTGGTGAACCATATATTTACATAAATGAGTTCAGAAAATCTGTTTATGTTGAAACCTTAGAAACAGTATCAGTTTTTTTCCTCTTTGTAAGTTGTTAATAAATTTGTTCTTCTTCACAGTTTCAAGATGCATTTGCAGGAGAAGAATATGGACAGACCGTCATTCTTAAAATCAGGTAAGTTTACCACAGGTGGATGGGATACTTTGGAGACACATATATATTTGCCTAACTAGCCACATATATATTTGCCTAACTAGTCTCTTCTAGAGAAGAGCTAGTCTTCTCTCGAATTCCTGCATAATCTGAAGGCTCTTTGTGGCAAGTTTCAAGTCAAAAGAAGCTGGCCAGCCTGGTCACTGCAGAGGTCCCACTGACCCTGCCTGGATGAACGGGAATGACTTGGGACGCAGCAAGATTCTTTCCACCATTGGCTACTCAGCAACTTGCACACAGGTGCAGGGATCTCCTGGGCCAGCTTGCTCTGATTCCTTTGCTGCAAACCATGCCTAGCCACCCCTGGAATGGGGCCAGGAGGAATTAATGGCTCATGCTCATCTCCTCCTCATATCAAGTTGTGGGGGGTAGTGCTAAGGAGATAAGAACACCCCAGTCACTCTCCTGGCTATTAAAGGACCAGTAATAAGCTCTTTGAAAAGTAAGAACAAGCATTTATTATGCTAACTAATATTCAGTGACATGTGGGGGCACTATTTAGGGAGCCAAAGAGAGATTTTACACAGTTAGCAACTCCATCTTGGCCTTTTCTGTATTATCACTACACCATGTTGCAGACCAAGGGAAAAAAGCTCTAAGGTGAATGGAACTGGGCAGACAAAGCCATTCTAAAGTGTTTATCTCTTATGATGTTACTGTTGCAACTATTTCATAGCCTTTACCAGCTCCTTTGTGGGATAAGCTTATATATATATATAATCAGAGAAGCCCTCTAAAGGAGGTGAGTTTTGAGCTTGGTGGTGAATGAGGAGCAGTCTAATGGGAGGCATGGTGCTCACTTGGCAAGGGATTAGCAGAGAAGCTGGGCCCCAGCACAGAGGCTGGAAGGCTGGAGGTACATAGCTTTGGGTGATTGAGTTTGGTTTAGTGAACAACAGGGAGCTCAAGTGTCAGGAATGATGGAATTAAAGCAGGAGCAATAATGTGTAGTGGCATCAGCCAAAATTGTATTTAAATCCTGGCTTTGGCCCCTTCTCACCATGTCACTAGGCAAGAATTTTAACTTCTCTGAACTCTGTTACCTCATCTATGTCACTGGGATAATCTGATTGACTTCCCTGGAACCTTGGCAAGAGTCAATGAGATAACATTTGAAAGATGCCCAGCACAAAATGCCAGGCACTGAATTTGAACATATTGGTTCTGTTCCCCTTCCAGAATGCGGGACTCTGCAAGTGTGAAGAAGCTGGCTCTGGGGGTCTTTTAGTGGGTTGCCTGAAACTGTGGCTCCCTTTTTTGTTCTTAAAGGAGCTACTTAAGGGAGCCAGGGGTGTTCAGAGGCAGCTTTTCCTGTAAGCTCGGTGTAAGCTTTTCCTGTAAGCTCAGTGTTCTGGAGAGGAGCGACCTCCCTAACTCAGGGCTGTGGTGAGGAGAATGGACCTCAGCCTCACCTGGGAAGGCATTTCTGAGGTCCCAGTCCAGTGTTTTCTCTCTTTCTAAATCCCCAAACTCTTTATCTACTGCACCACTGTTGGAATTGGCAGGATGCTCAGAAATTTTTTTCCTAAATTTTTTTTTTTATTTTTGTACAGAAGAACTGGGGCATAGGTCAGAGGTGTGGGGGGGTGAGAGGATTCACCAGAGACAGAGTGGGGAGCAGAACAGGCAGACTGACTGAAACACACTGCTGAGAGGAACAGCGGGTGAGACAGGAGAGGTCTGCTGTGCCATGTGGGTAGCTCCCTGGCCGGGGATCAGACTCGGGCTATAGTTGTGATAGTGCTGAGACTTAATTCCTAGGCCACAAGGGGTTCCCAATTCCCCTTCCCAATCCTCTCTTTGGACAGAAGAGGAAACTCAGGCTCATGGAAGATGTGAGTGGTCACGTGCCAGAGTAGATGGTGGCGACCCTGGGTCTAGATCTCAGGTCTCCTAACTTGTCTGGTGCTCCAGCCACGAGTGCTCCAGTCATGAGTGCCGTGTCTTGCCTCCTAAATGGGAGCATATGCGAGTAGGTTTCTTGGATCAATGAATTACGGGTGGCATTTTCTTTCCTAGCCCTTCTACAAAATTATACCATAGATTTCTAGTCACTTTTCAACTGATAGAGAATAACCTACTGCCTTTCAAGTACCCTGTATTTCCCTTTCACTGCCCTATATATCCCAATGCCACCTCTAATTCTGTCATCAATGATGCATGGTACATTTTCAATAAAAATTCTGAAGCCAGTTTTTTGTTGTTATTTCACTCCCTTTTAAGGCAGTCATCCCTAAAATCAGAATTTGGTGCATGTTCTGGATTTTCTTAGTTTTTCTGAACAATCAACATGCCACAAATGTTTCCAAAGTAGTTTTGCTATATTCTTAAGCTTGTGAATTTATGAAGTATAGGGAAAAAATAGACAGAAATACATCCCAAATCTTAAAAAGACACAGCCATAAATCAGATCAAGAGGGAATTTTTAGAAGTCCTTTCTTACTTCTCTTATTAATTGCACCATTTGATTTGTTTTGGACAATGAAAGACTCAGAACTTGGCACAGCTGTTCTTTGGGCTCCATACTGCAATGCTGATTAGGGAGGGACTCTTACAATGCCTCGCTCACAGTAGGCCCTCGGTATTTTGGGATATGATTTGAGATCACTTTCCCATGTGTCCCACAGCCCTGGCCCTCCTTTCCAGTTCTCCAGTGAGTCATGTGGTTCCAGGCCCAGTCATATACCCACTCTGAAGGTGCCTCCTGACTTCTGGCTCTTCTGGGAATGCCCCCAGTGTGGCCAATTGCTTTTGACAGAAAGTAGCAGCTTACTGGAGCCTCCCAGGTGGTGCAAGGGGTTAAGACATAACCTATGAAGCTATCCACAGCCTCTGCAGCATGAGTTTGATCCCCAGCCAGGGAGCTGCCCACATGGCGCTGCAGATCTCTCCTATCTCGCCTGCTGCTCCCCTCAGCAGTGTATTTCAGTCAGTCCACCTGTTCTGCTCCCCACTCTGTCTCTGGTGAATCCTCTCACCTCCTGCACCTCTGGCCTACACCCCAGTTCTTGTATGCATAAATAAATAAATTTTTTTTTTAAAAAAAGTAACAGCTTATTATTTCAGATGTAACTTGTTCTGCTTCTCATGATCTCCAGACTCCTAGATCCTAAAAATGACTGCCCACAGTTTTCTAAGAACCTTCCAACAAGGCATTGTATTAGCCTTAGATTTCCTCTGCATGTGCACAGAGTAGAGAGCTCCAGGCTTATAAATTACCATCTTATTGCAAACCCAGGCCTCCACATTTGGGCCTCTTGTAGAGAGAGGACAGTGGGTCAGTTCAATTCATCAATTGATGGATTCATTTCACTTTTAGCCTATCTCCTTCAGCAAGATCTGAAATGCGAGCTGGTGAGAACAATGTTGAAGTGACTGTAGTAAACATTTTTGCACAAGGTGCAGTAGATGAGAAGGTGGTGGACCAAGCAATTCAAAAGGCAGTGGAAAAAACACCTCACTTTGAAAAGTATAAACGTAAGTACTAAGTAATTTCATTCAAAGTTTACCTAAAGTGGGGCCTCCATGGTGGTGCAAGGAGTTAAGACACAACCTATGAGGCTGTCTGCAGTCACTGCAGCACAAGTTCGATGATCTATGTTCCTTATGGAACCTAGCACAGAGCTAAGTGCAAAAGACACCTTGAGCTTGAACATAATTGCACTGAATTGAATTGAATTAATTTGGATTGAATATTAGAAGGAAATAGTCATGAAAGAGTGGATTGAAGAGTTCAGCTTCAGAATCCCAGATTTTCAATTGTCAAATCCTACAACTTATTAAATGGCAATTATAGCAAAAATGGAATATGATGTTTTTACAAGTTGCTTTATCCATATTGTTTTGCTCAATGTATTTTTGAATTCTTTGTGCCTCTCAGAACAAAATCTTTGTGAGTATTATGGCTGTGTAGATGATGGAAAAGGCTGTCGCGATAATTTACAATGTACATGCAAACCAGGACTGGAAAGACCAAACCCACAAGTTCCTATATGTGTTGGTAAGTATTTCACCAGCTTCTAAGTGCTCTTCACAGTTCCTATTCTCTCTTCTTTCACATTTGCACAAGTGATCTTTGCTCAAGTTTCCATATGCATATTGGAGTCTGAGCAATGTGAATTTTAACTTTAGACCCTGGACCAAGACTAGGGCCTCTGCTGAGAGCTGAGAGGTGGGCCATGTACAGCTTCATATGTAGCGCCAATGAGTGCCTCGCTTTCCCTAGCCAGAGCAATGTGAAAAGTTTTATTCTGTGGCCTATCATTGGGGCTGAAGAGGTTGTTTTTTGAAATTTACCAGAAATTACTCTTTAGCAGTTTCTACGTGTCCTGGCACCTGCACCGCGGAGCACCACAAGCAATGCTTGTGGAATACAAAGACGAACACGCCTGTTTGCACGTGCCTGCCAGGCTACAAGAACGATAGCAATGGCCTCTGCCAAAAGTAAGAGAAATCACTCCGTTTTAATCTTGCTATAGCTGGAGCTCAGCAAAAAGGATAGAGCTTGCAGCATGTATGTGGGGTTAGGATCAGAAAGGTCTTATGCTGGTCTAAGTTGGTAAGTATGGACAGGATCGTCATCATCAATGGTTTTGAATATTCTCTGTGTGCTGGTGATACCTTGCACTTCACGAATGTGTTAGTTCCCCATTGGGCTCACACCTCTCGGGTTCAACTTCACTGGAGTTTGGAATCTCCTTAACTCAGGACAGAGTATTCAGGCAGGTGCAAATGAGACCACATGAGTTGCATAGCCCCTCAGCCTTTGAGAACTCCATGGAAGGTGCTCACCTGGCTGAATGGGGGTATAGAGATGAGAGAGAGGAATAAGATCAAGGAAGGAGAGAATGAAGGGAAGATGGAAATGAAGAAATAGAGAGTAGGTGGGACTCTGACATGCTTCCACCGAAGCCCTGACCACTGCTTCCTGTTACTTATTGTATTTCAGGTGTAGCTTTGGCTATAGCGGAATCAACTGTGAAGACCGTAAGTATAAAAGTCTTGCTTTGTTTCTAAGCCTCTGAGAAATAAACACTGACCATATTCAAATTTCCATCCAGTCCCCCAGTGTCTCAGACTCTCATCATAAAGAGAGAAAATCTGCCTGTAGCTTGTCTTCTGAGTCATGCCATCGCCCAGCCTGAGGGCTTGGGCAGCAGAAGTACTGCTGTAGGAAAAACCAAACTCAGCCCCGGGCAGGCAGGCCTAGAGTCTCCTCCCAGGTCAAAGAAGAGCCTCTGATTAACATATTCATTTCCTGCAATTTTTTAAATATGCATTTTCTGCTACTAGACAGGATAAAAGATCAATCTACTCCAAAAATACCTGGTTGTGAGAGCAGAGTTAGGAATAGATGTTTAATACTTGAGTCTTCTTTTTGACTCAGAGCTATTTGCTAGTTTGGAGTGTGTCGTTACAAATTCAGTTGCTTGGTTCCTTCCCATGCCCCAACCCCACCAAGTTAAGATGATATTAACTTTATATTTTAAATGATTATATGTTATGACTCCTAGAGTCTGTGAGAAATACAATGCTTACCAGAAGGGAAATGGAGGTGGGGGGAGAGAGGGGACGGAGGGGCAACAGAATAGAAATTGGCTCAGAAGCTTTGGTGGTGGGTGAATGAAGCATGTGCTCATTCTGAGGTATGAAGCTGAGCTCCTGAAATTATATAGTTTTGTAAATAAATGGCAACTCAATAAAATTTGTTAAACATAATTAAATATAGGTATAAAGTTCTCACTTAAAAATAAAGCACATGTCATCAGACTACAAAATATCATTTGTTTTTAACATAATGAGCTAAAGAGAAATAATCCAAGATAAAGGAAATATTACGTTGGCCTCCAAGGCAGCACAGAGCTAGTGATGAGAAATATAATTTCTCCTGTGTTTTGTTGCAGTTCTGGTTTGCTAAGTCATTTCTTCCTTCTGGGCTTTTAGTATCCACGCCTAAGGAATGAGAGCTCTTTTCCAGATGTGCCGGTGTATGCCCCATGAATCTAGGTCGGGGATGGCTTGTCTGAAAGTCACAAAGCAGAAAGAGACAAAGGGCCCTAGAGGATGTCTGTCCAGTAGAAATATGCAAGTTCATGTTGAATTTAAAGATCTCAAATCTAAGTAAAATTTGAAAAGTTAAAAGAAATAGGTAAAGTGGATTTCAATAACATTTCATCCAGTATGTCTAAAATATTATCAATTCCACATGTAATAGATAGAAGCATTAAGACATATTTTATACTTTTTTATACAACATGTTCAAATCTGCTGTGTATGTTACACTTAACTGGCCATCTCATGATCACATTTCAAGTGCTATATCCGGCATATCTAGAGGAAGAGAAGAGATGGTAATGAGCTCTTCTTCACCAATTCTGTGAATCACCTCGTTCCTCTCTTAGCAACAAATTTAACTCCAATCTAGTTCCCTCAGCTTATCAGGTCAGGTATGGTGAGTAGGTCAAGGGAGCAGGGTGTGGACCTCAGTTGTGATTCCCACCCTCCACCAAATCAGGGAGGCCCCTCCATTATGGCCTCCTTTGTGTTTATGGTTTTCTTTTACCTGGCAAGGCTACCTTTCTGGTTGAGCTCTGAAAGTACAGTTGTGGGAGAGGGTTAAAGTAGATGACCCATCTACCCAACCTGACTTTAAAGGTTCTGAGATCAGAGCCTGATTGTCCTCACAGTCAGGTGCCCCCAGCAATACTAGGACCCAGACAGAAGACAATGGGGGACTGCTTGCAGGAAGCCATTCCTACTTTTCTCATTTCCCTTTCAGAATTTCAGCTGATCCTTACTATCGTGGGCAGCATTGCTGGAATCCTCATTCTTGGCATGGTGATCGCACTGATCTTCGTAGTAAGGTAAGGGTTCAAAGTGTCCTTTCTCTTGAACACAGGGCCATTGGCATTAGACTCTGGTTTCCATACACACCTGTAACACACCTGGCCATTCCTGGGCAACAGGGGAAAAATAAACTAAGCCTCTCAAATACCACTGACCTTTCTTTTTCTTAAGTTTCTTCTGATTACATCAGCTATACATACTCATTGTTGAAAATAGAAAAATGTGTAAAGGAGTAGAATAGAAAATCACCCACAAAATCCACCACTATGAGACAACTAACATTTTCGCAGGTTTATTTCTATCTTTTAAAATGATAATGTACACATAAGTTTGTATCTTTTGTATTTTTTTTTGATGTTGGTTTTTTTTTTTCCTTAACACTATAATATAACATAATAGCCATTCTCTATTGTCCTTAAAAACTATTTGTTGGGGGTCTCCCCTGGTGGCACAGCGGTTGAGCGCTGGGCTGCAAAGCTGCCTGCAGCCTCTGCAGCACCAGTTCGATCCCCAGCCACCGGCAGGGATCCCACATGGAGCGCAGACCTCTCCCGCCCCTCCCGCTGCTCCCCTCAGTAGTTTATTTCATCGGTCTGCCTGTTCTGTTCCCCGCTCTTGCTCTGGTGAATTCTTTCTCACCCTCCCGCACTTCTGACTGTACCCAGTGCTTGTATAAATAAATAAATAAATCTTACCCAAAAAACCCAACAACTATTTGTTGGGTCTCCCCGGTGACGCAGGGGTTAAAGACACAGCGCTATCAAGCTATTGCCAGCCACTGCAGCAATAGTCGATTCCCAGCTGGCCAGGGAGCTAGCCCACATAAGCAGCAGACCTCTCCTGTGGCCCACCGCTCCGCTCAGCAGTGTATTTCAACTGATCTGCCTGTTCTGCTCCCCAACTCTGTCTCTGGTGAATCCTCTCACCTCCACTGCCCCCCACACCTCTGGCCTACACCCCAGTTCTTATATGCATAAATAAACAAATCCTTAAAAAAAATTGTTAACAGTATTTAACTCCACAGATGTTTGCAAATGTCAAAGTTCATCAAGTCGCTTCCCTGCCAAGGACCTTGATATATATAAATGGTCTAATATCAGCCTGGACTGAGCCCCTGGGGTTTTAAGAAACTATATGGCACAAACATTTTTTAGTTTAAGTAGGACTGTTCATTTATTCAACAAATATTTAGATAGACTAAAGTTCCCTCCATTAACAGGGAGAGAATGCTGTTATCTTGGTTCCATTTTAAATATACCAAATAGGGTTCCACAGTTATAAAAACAAGCCACTTTTTAGAATAACATTTAGTTTGTATCTTATAATATGGCAAAATAGGTATTGTTGCACTGTGATGTGAGAGAAAAAATACATTTATGTTCCTAAAATGTTTCCATTTTGACATTAACTCTTACCTAAAGACTTAATAAGGTCACAAAACTAGGAAGGGGGATGTGACTTTCTCTTTTCCAGGGAGGGGACCAGAACATTCTGCTTCCAGGGCAAGACTGTCTTCTCCTTCCTGGGTGGCCTAACTGGCCTGGGGCTTCTGTGTCCACAGAAACCACCTTAAGCCTTCTAGCATGTTTCTCAGCATCTCCTTCCTGCTGCATAGCCAGGCTTGCCCTTAGCCCACTACAGAGCCCTGGTCTTAGAACACATCCAGAATGGTCATTTCTTACCCATTTGAAAGGAAAGGAAATCCCCTTCAGTCACCTGAGCCAACTGTTGTCAAAGGGCGAAAACTCCCTTGCAGCCTGGCCCTCAGGGTCACAGTGGGAATGGGTCTTGCTTTTAAGGCATTCCCAGTGTAGCTGAGGTTTGGACTGTCACCCTAGGAGTGCCCTGGGGCCTAACTCCCTGCTCCAGCAGTCCAGGGCACCACAGGCAGGAGCACACCTGTGAGTGGGATGGGCTGAAGGGTCACACTCAGAGTCCACTGGAGCAGGTACTTCCATTTGACTTTGAATTCACTGAGGTGCATCTGTAGACACTGTCTTTGCTTAAATGAAAACTTCTATCACAAATCACCTTTTCTCTTTGACTTCTATTTTCTTCCCATAAATAATTCAAAAGCAGGCAGTTGTGTGTAGCACTATGAAGCTGTTTGCAGCCTCCGCAGTGTGGGTTCTATCCTGGCTGGCCGGGGAGATACCCACATGGCATGGCAGACCTCTCCTGTCTCGCCTGCTGCTCCCTTCAGCAGTGTATTTCAGTCAGTCTGCCTATTCTGTTCCCCACTTTGTCTCTGGCAAATCATCTCACCCTCCTGCACATATGCCCCTACCCCACTTCTTATATGTGTAAATAAATAAATCTTTAAAAAAAATAATTCAACTGGGCCTCCCCTGATGGTGCAGGCGGTTGAGTGCCACACTGTGAAGCTGTCTGCACCCTCTGCAGCACCAGTTCGATCCCCGCCGGCCGGCAAGGGTCCCACATGGTGCAGCAGACCTCTCCTGATGTGCCTGCTACTCCCCTCAGCAGTGTATTTCATCAACCTGCCTGTTCTGTTCCCCACTCTGTCTCTGGTGAATCCTCTCACCCTCCCGTGCATCTGGCCTGTACCCCGGTTCTTGTATAAATAAATAAATAAATCTTTTAAAAAATTCAACAGCAGAATTAAGACTGTAAACATTATTAGCAAAATTTGAATGGGGCCTGCAGAATTAGATAGTAATGATGGATCAGTGTTATTGTTCTGGTTTTGATAATGTTGCTACCATTAAGTGATCAAATTCTGGAAGACACTTAGACATCAGGAGAGAAGAGGTAACTCTCTCTAGTTCATTCTCTGACAAGTTAATATAGGGATGCTACTTCTGCCTGTCAGAGGTAGGCATTTCATTACTCTTGAACTACACAGATCTTGGAAAGAGTTTCCTTAAATTTAGGGAATCCACACTGAATGAGGTAATAAAGAGTGATGGTTAATGGGGCAGCAGGTCTGCAAGTTATTCTCAAATGATTCAGAAATATTAGCAATTGGTACTTCAGGGGATGAATGTATGGGAGTTCTGTGTGGGTGTTTTTTTCCAGTAAATTGCATGTAAATTAAAATTATTTCAAAATTTGAAAATATTTAAAAATGAATATTAACATTTGCTTCAAGGATTTTTCTGCAATTTCAGATCCTAATCCTGTTACTGATTTTATAGGTCAAAGAACAAAAACAAGAATATTGAAAAGCAGAGGTTGATTGAGGACGACTTTTCAAGTATGAGGCTGAGAGGAATGGGTGTTTCCAATTTTGGAGCAGATGGGAACATCTTTCCTAAAGTCAGAACCGGTGTTTCCAAATCCAGTCAGCCACAGAACCCCTACGTAAACTCCAGGCAAATGCCCCGCCCTGACTACTAGGTGAGTATCTAGGCTTTCCTGCTGGCTTTCCTGAGTGCAACGCCCCAGGGTAGAGCCAGGGAGCTTGCTATTGTATCTTCCCCAAGTCCTGCTTGCCAGGCTGGCTTTTGAAATTTTTTTAATGAAAGGAAAAGATCTGGGGAGGTTCTTTGCTATTATTACAGGGCCCAACGAGGCTCCCAAAGTATGTCCATATTGGTCCCCAATACTGACCAGCTGTGTGACTTTAGACTCGACACAATTTCTCTGGCCTTCTGTTTCCTCAGCTGTAAAAGGGAAACTTAATTTAGAAGCCCTTAAGTTCTCTTTAAATGACAGGCTTCTATGGAGTGACCTCAGTGGTTGTGATGGCAATCCCCAGGCCGTGTATAGTTTTCAAATAATTAATTCAATCAATGAGCTAATAAATTAATTAATAATTAACAAAATTGATAATTTGTGAATTTAAATCATATGTTTCTGTTAGAATACTTTTTAAAGAGCTCTCTTTCTCTTTCTCTTGAATAGTAAAAATTCGCAACAATATATGGCCCACAACTCAATGTATAAGCTTTTATTTTAAGTTGTTAAAAGCCTGATGAAGAAATAAGCAGCTGTGAAGATATGGCCTTTGGTATCTCTTCCATGTAACACCTAGACTTTCTGAATGGAGTTGTGAATGTTGGCAATGAATGTAATCTGTTTGCTAATCAAGTACCAATGAAATTATATGCACATATAATATTATATGCATTTGTGTAGTTGATTTTCTCTAGTCAGATTACAGTGGGTGTGGGGGATAACAATTATCGTTTCTAGAGGAAGGCCTTCCCAAGATCATTCACTCCTGAGAACATGTTGCTACAATTAAGTGATCAAATTCTGGAAGACACTTAGACATCAGGAGAGAAGAGGTAACTCTCTCTAGTTCATTCTCTGACAAGTTAATATAGGGATGCTACTTCTACCTGTCAGAGGTAGGCATTTCGTTACTCTTGAACTACCAGAAGCTTGCACACTGACCTCACTCCAAGGAGACAGGAAAGACACATGTCTCTCTGCTTTTTCAGAGGTAGGGCTGGAAACCCAAGAACTTTTTGATGTTGACTGAAAAGGCTGTGGTAGAAATATCCCTTGTAGGGTCCATTCCAGATTTTTTGAGGTGCTAGTATGTGGGAGAGGCAGGAGAAAAAATATGAGCATGAGTAGAAGCAAAGGAAAAAGGAAGCTAGATTGAGAGGATGAGTAGAGAGAAGGCACCAAGTCCACCTTCATCTCAGAGCCCCCTATTCATCAAATAAGAGGACACCTCCTCTAATTCACAGCCTTCCCAAGACTCAAGGAAAAGAGTGAACAAAGCCTCGCAGAAGCAAGCGTTTTAAGTGACTTTGAAATTGCACCCATTCTGTCTAACTGATGGTGAGAGAAGAAGCTTGTGCCCTGGATCCACATATCCAGCCTCGTGATGCAGGTGACTTCATCTGAGGGGACAGCACTGAGGCCCTGGCCTTCAGTAGAGACAGAGGCTTAGCTGTGACACCAATATCCACCACCTCAAAAACAGAGCTGCCACATCCACCACAGGTTTTTTAAAAATGTTAATAATGTCCTCCTTTATGTCTAATGTCTTGTCCCCTTGTTATTTTTATTATTTTTTTCCCTTGACTATTAACTAAGGGAGTTTGCAAATAAAGAATCTTTAGCAGATGTTGTCCTTTCTGATATTTGGGGCTTTTGGTGATGCTCAGGGCAGTAAGTCTCACTTTCAGTAGCTATCGTCACACACAGAACACTGAATTGATTGACACCTGCTATCCAGGGGCGGGCCTTGGTTGCTCCAAGCCAATCAGCAAAATTCCACCCCTGTGATTGACTTGACTCAGCACTTGGCATAAATGGATGCAAGTAGAATAAAGCCCAATCTTCATAAGAGGCTTGAAGGAAGAACTCTCTTCTGGAGACTGGGCTTAAGGATGGAAGCCCTTGAACTGCTTCAGTTTGTTTAGGAGAACGCTGACACTGGAGGAGGCCAGGACCCAGAAAACTGGAAGAATGGAACTGGAGTTCTGAGGTGGCCTTACTTGGAGGCTCTGCTCTTTGCTGTTAGCCCAGTATGCTGTTAGCCCAGTCATTTCTGCAAAAAGTATCTTCAGTGACACCATTTGCATTTACTCATGTGTTCTCAAAGATAGGTGGTGAGTGGAATAAAATGCCGCTAATGCTCACCATTAGCCATCAATCAATCAGCTAACAGCAGAATTGATGCAGAGGCAACTTAAAACTGTAACTTGTTATCACAAACTTCCTTCTTTTTAAAGTAATACTGACTTATCGCATTATATAGGTTTCAGGTGTACATCATCGTAGACTTTTATTTCTCCTTTATGCACTTTGCCTCCTTTATGCTTGAAGATGGTTCTGGACCCAGTGGGCTATTTGAACCTCTTTTCTAAAGAGTCCACCTCCATTGTGTCCCTTTGCATCAGAGCAAACCAGTTTCCATTTCTTCTCAAAGGCCTAGGATCATACAAACTCTGGGCTTCATGGACCAGTGTATCATCCATTCTTCAGAGACTTTAGTTGCTATTGTTTGAATAAAAAAGCTCTAAATATGGCTATGTGTTGTGTTTATGAAAATGGCTTTTGCTCTCAAAATTGGTTCTTAAATGATGTGCCTATAATTCATGTGTTTCTGCTCTCCAAACTTTACAAAGTTTCTGACTAATTGTCCTGCAACCTTGGGAGGCTGTTGCTAAGAGTTAAATCTGACCATGATGCCCCTTGCTTAAGGCTTCGGGGGTTCTCCACTGAGACTGAGTTCATAGAATCAAGCCAGGCTCCTGGGGCTCATCTCACTCATCATCTGACTATTGCCACCGATCATTCCTGCTTTCCTTCACACCCCCCACACCTGCAGTGCACTAACACTCTGGGCCATGCCTGCTGCTCACAAAACTTGCCACCTCTTTGTGTGACTGCACTTTTATGCTCATGCTGTTTTCTACACTTGGGACGCCGCCTTTCCTTCAATGGCCAATAAACACTTCCAACTGTGGAGATGAGCTAAACCATAGTCTCTTCTGACCCACCTCCCATATCCCTCCCATCTCCTCACAGCACACTCATGTAGAAGTGTCACCTACTCATGTCCCAACTGGGTCCTATCACCTGTTCCCCAAGAAGGAGATTGTACATGGTGAGTTGGCTTCCTTCTCAATCAGTACAATGGTGGATAAGCGTATTAAATAATTGTGAAACAGGGATATAAAGCAGGATTCTTCCAGCTCAGTCTTGAAGAGTATATTCATTATCTTGATTATGGTGATAATTTCAGGAGTATATTAACACTTGTCATATATATTTTATTTTTTGAATTATATTTTTATTGAGATAGTGGTTTACAACACTATAAACCACACTACAACACTGTATGTGGTTTAGGGATATAGGTTCCACCTCTTCAGATGTACGTCAACACACCAAGGTACCCACAGTCCTCTACCACAGCCCATTGGAACCTCTCTAACCTTTGCTGCCCCCCCCTCGAGGGTAACCTGAATTTTGCTATCAGATTTCTATTTCTAGGTTTGTTTTTGGTTTGGTCAAAAGGTTTATTTCCTAGATGCATTGGGCACTGAGGATGATTCAATTCAGAAACAATCCATCCCACATCTGCCATGCAGTACCTCACAAGACAGTCCCATCGCTTAAGTGACATCCTCGTGAAAAATAACTATGTGCTTGTTATTGTTATGTGCTGGGTTTGCTTTTAATTAAGAGAAAAATACACAATGAAAATGATGTTTATTTTTATTGTATCATTTACTGACTAGAATGACAGACTTAGAGTGGATTTAAGTATAAAAATAACTGAATTTTTACAAATGATACTTTGCTGCTACAGTATTGAATCATTAGTAGAGGTTGCAATTATACAACTTTAAATAACATTCTCATAACAGATTTAACCCAGTCAACCAGGGGCTAAGGTCAACTAGGGTCTCCATTTTGCATTCAGATTTCCGGGGCTTGTTTTGCTTTAGCTTTGTTTCCTTGTGTTGTTTCTTTATAGTCCACCCATAAGTGAAATCATCTGGTGTTTGCTTTTCTTCTTTTTTTTTAATTAAAGATTTATTTATTTATACATACAAGAACTGGGGTACAGACCAGAGTTGTGTGGGGTGAGAGAATTCACCAGAGACAGAGTGGGGAACAGAACAGGCAGATCGACTGAAATACACTGTTGAGGGGAGCAGCGGGGGAGACAGGAGAGGTCTGCTGCTCCATGTGGGTTAGCTCCCCAGCTGGGCATTGAACTTCTGCTGCAGTAGCTGCAGTGAGTTTCATAGGTTGCAGCTTAACCTCTTCCGTCACCAGGGAGGCCCTGCTTTTCTCCTTTTGACTCATTTTACTCAGCATAGTCCTCTCCAGTTCCATCCATACTGAGCAAGCAGCCAGAGTTCATTTAAAAAAAAATTGTACATTATATACATGTGCATATATATGTGTGTGTGTGCATATATATATATATACACTCACACATATACACACATACACAGTCTATTGTACTTCAATTATACCCTAATAAAACTGGTATTTTTTTCCTTTCAAGTATATTATCCTACAGATCTTGGCACTGGGCGACATGTCTTTTGAGGTCGGCCTTGGCTGAATCCAGCTGGGAAGGGCAGCCTCCCTGACAGCACCTGTATTAAATAATTGTGAAACAGGAGTATAAAGTAGGATTCTGCCAGCTCAGTCTTGAAGAGTATATTCATTATCTTGATTATAGTGATGGTTTCAGGAGTTAACTTGTCATATATATTTTGTTTCTTTGAATTCTATTTTTATTGAGATAATGGTTTCCAACACTGCATGTGGTGTAGGGATACGTCAGCCGCACGTTGACGACACGTGAGGAGAGCTAAAAGTCTCTCGTGCCTGAGACCCATCCCACAGTGCTTCACTGATCTAGGGCAGACCCAAGCCTAGGGATTCCCCACGCGGCTCATCACGCGGGTGCCTCAGATTGATGGCTCCTCGTGGCCAGGCGGCACATCATTGCTTCTCCTGGGAGTCTAGCAGCTAGGAGTCTATTAGGCATAAGAAGGCCAACTTCCTTTTGGAGCAAGCGTGTAGGTGACACCGACACCAAAAGAGCTTGAGACAAACCTTTTGAGCGATTTTAAAACCATCACTCTCCCCGCTTCCTGGCCGCTGGGCAAACTCCACGGCCGGTAGATGGCGCTGTCTCCTGTATCTTGCGGAAAGCCCGACTGCCGGCCGGCCAGCTCTTTCAACTTAAAAAAAATTTTTTTTTAAGACTTATTTATTTATGCATACAAGACCTGGGGTACAGGCCAGAGGTGTGGAGGATGAGAGTATTCACCAGAGACAGAGTGGGGAACAGAACAGGCAGATTGACTGAAGTACACTGCTGAGGGGAGCAGCAGGTGAGACAGGAGAGGTCTGCTGCGCCATGAGGGTAGCTCCCTGGTGAGGATGGAACTTGTGCTGCAGTGGCTGTGGACAGCTTCATAGGTTGTGTCTTAACCCCTTGCGCCACCAGGGAGGCCCAAAATTTCTTGTTTTAAATCATTAACTTTTAGTGTACCAATACTAAACAATATCCCCGTGACTTTTTCTTGGTCTTTTCAGTCCTCGTGCCATAGACATATGACTATTACTCAGCTCACTCTGGTTGCAATATTTTTATCATTGCTACTGAACCATGAGAGATGATGACCTGTTTGCTTTTATTGTCTTACAATACCTTAAGTATTAAAGTAATGTTAATATATTAATGGTGCATAAAATTTGGTATAATTGCTTGGATAACCAATGTTTTATTTAATGGCGATTTTCCAAAATAAAAGAGGAGATAAGTCCATTTTCATCAAAGAGTTTTTCAGTTAAGACTATAAAAAGAAAACAGCCCCCATGGGTGGTTTCTGTCTTTCATCAGCTTTTATGAGGTGAGCAGGTCTGGTTGGGATTTTTAGAAAATGAGTTAGGGGAGAGCCTAGGGGTGTAGTATGGAGTCTTCTCAAATTTGT